CTACGATTCAATGTTTGAGCACCCAAACAAGGAATCCAGCGAACTAGAGCAAGGTTTTGAACACAATTAGACTTAAGAAAAGAGTAGAAGGAGAGAGTTTTGAGGCTAGGATAATATGATTTTTGTGTTGTCAATTTTCTGGTGCCCAACTCTTTCTTATATAGGGTTGAAGGAATGAATAGCCTTTACTTTGGCAATTAAAACTGACATTAAAACTAGCTTTGCAACAGCTATAAGAGCAGACCACTACCTAAGAATTAAATTTAGAATTCAAAAGTTGAAATTAATAGAAAATTAATTCTGTAACGGATGAATTTAATCTCCACAACAGTCAGAACTTTCGAGTTCCAGACCGTTAGCATATAGGGTTCAGCCTCAGCATTCGACCTCACCTAGTTTCTGCCAGAAGGCCGAGACATCAGTTAGTTAGAGTACCCGAATTATACTCTAACAAGTAAGTTAGAAAATCCAGACCGAATGATTTTTTAACTCTTGCCCGCTTACTGCGTCTCGGCTCGAGCTCGGGTTCTTTCTAAGATTTTCCACTATCATTATCCATAGTTTCGTCAAACGTCCGTTTTGACGTACTTGGTCCCTCGTTGGACCTACAAGGAAATACATTTTCAAAGAAATATGCATTTCTTGATTCTATTATCGTGTTCTCATGTACGTCCGGATTATGTGACTCATGTACTAAGAACCGATAAGCACTACTGTTATGTGCATAGCCAATAAAGATACAGTCCTCCGTCTTAGAACCTATCTTTACTTTCTTAGGTGTTGGCACCAAAACTTTGGCAAGACACCCCCACACTTTCAGGTACTGGTAGGAAGGTTTCCTACCGTTCCACAGCTCATAAGGAATCTTATCGAGCTTCTTGCGGGGTACCTTATTTAAAAGGTAATTACTTGTCAAAATCGCCTCACCCCACATACCTTGAGGTAGGCCTGAACTTATAAGCATCGTATTCATCATATCTTTCAATGTACGATTCTTTCGTTCGGCAACACCGTTCCATTGAGGTGCGTAAGGTACCGTACACTCGTGTATGATACCTACACTGCACAGAAGTCACCAATTGGTGCTTCATACTCACCACTTCTATCGCTTCTAACCTTCTTAATTCTCCGATTAAATTGGTTTTCCACTTCATTCTTATAAATAATGAATTTATCAACGGCTTCATCTTTGCTCTTAAGCAAATACACATAGCAGTATCGTGTGCTATCGTTGATAAACGTGATAAAATACTTATTACCACCTCTCATTTGTATCGATCTAAAATCGCACAAATCACTATGGATTAATTCTAGTGGTTCAGTTTCCCTTTCTACCGATTTGAAAGGTACCTTCGTTAGTTTTGCCTCAACACAAATTCACACTTGTTATTTGTGTTAATTTGAAAGTTAGGAATATGGTGCATGCTAATTAATCTACGTATAGAATTAAAATTAAAATGACCTAGTCTACCATGCCACAAATTGGAAGACTCAAGCAAGTAAACAGAATTAACTTTGCTTTTATTGATAACAGAAATTACACTGAGCTTAAAAAGCCCACCAGTTACATATCTTTTACCAACAAACATTCCTAACTTAGACAAAACTACTTTGTGTTACTCGAACACCATGCGGAACCCATGCTTGTTTAGCAGCGAGCCAGACACAAGATTCTTCCTCAGCTCTGGAACATACAGCACGTTGTTCAACATCAGTTCCTTCTCGAAAGTCATCTTCAGAACCACTTCGCACATGCCTTCCACAACAGACTGAGCAGAATTTCCCATCCACACCTTTTCACCCTCAATGGTCTCAAAGGTGTCGAACATCTCTCGGTTGCAACACAAATGACTGGTTGCACCGGTATCGATGAACCACGCACGTGGGTTAGACCCACGAGGTTCACCTCGGTCACCATAGCCGAAAGGCTAATCTCGAACTCCTTCTGACTGCTGTCGCCAACAACATTGGCTCAGAACTCTTGTTCTTCTTCCTTGGAGCTTTGCATTCAGACGCTTTGTGGCCAGGCTTGCCACAATTGTAGCATTCACCAAGAAACTTGTTCTTGGTAACACCACCTTTCGGACCTAGCTTTCACTTGTCCTTCTTGTTCCTCTTGGAGCTTTTACCGTGCTCCACAACGTTGGCCTTAGCGCCACTAATGATAGGAGCTCTCCCATCATTCGTCCAGTTCCTTTCCTCAATCCTGAGTCACTGGATCAGGTCCTCCAGGTTCATCTCCTTTCGCTTATGCTTAAGGTAGTCCTTGAAGTCCTTCTAACTTGGAGGCAACAAGTGGATCACGGATCCCGCTTGAAAGGCTTCACTCAGCACCATGCCCTCGTCATGGATCTCGTCGAAGATTAATTGCAAATATTCTACCTGACTTAGCACGACCTTTGAATCAACCATTTTGAAGTCGAGGAATCGGCCAACCACAAATTTCTTTGAGTCGGCATTCTCACTTCGGTATTTATGATCCAAGGCTTCCCACGGCGCTTTCGTTGTGCTGATCTTGCGATACACATCGTATAACGCATCACATAATCCGTTCAAGATGTAGTCTCGGCATAGGATGTCCGAATCCTTCCAATAGCCAATCGCCATCACGGATTGGGCATCTTGTTCCTTCATCTCAGGAACTTTCTCGGACAAGAACCTTGCCAAGCCGAGAGTTGCTAGGTACAACAACATCTTTTGTTGCCACCTCTTGAAGTTCGATCCGACACCAGTGAACTTCTCCGGCTTTTCAGCCGATCCGCTCGGTACCGAAGGTACCCGAGTCATGGGAATATATCTCTCGGTGCTGCCACCGTCTTGTGAACCAACGTTCACTGGTGGTGCCTGGGAATTCACAACATTGTTGTCATTTCCTCCATTGTTGTCCGCAACAACATTTTCCTCCCCAAAGATTGGCAGTACGGGGTCCTCTATTTCTTCAATGAAATTAGAGACAAAAACCAACGGGAAGACGAAGGTATAAGGTTTTAAGACTGTTGGGTTATCGTTGGTGAAAACCAAATAATAATCCTACAAAATAAGGATTATTATTTTCTATAGAGAAAGGGAAGGAAAGATGAAGAGATTGGCTCGTGTTTGGTGTAGGGTTTTTAGCATGAGTCGAGCGATCATTCTTTCCTTAAAACCTTATTTGCTACCTCCCACAAGTGCTAGGAGCATTGTAGCCTAGGCTTCCCAGGATAAAACTTGCTAGGATTCAATGTTTGAGCACCCAAACAAGGAATCCAGCGAACTAGAGCAAGGTTTTGAACATAATTAGACTTAAGAAAAGAGTAGAAGTAGAGAGTTTTGAGGCTAGGATAATATGATTTCTGTGTTGTCAATTTTCTGCTGTCCAACTCTTTCTTGTATAGGGTTGAAGGGATGAATAGCCTTTACTTTGGCAATTAAAACTGACATTAAAACTAGCTTTGCAACAGTTATAAGAGCAGGCCACTACCTAAGAATTAAATTCAGAATTCAAAAATTGAAATTAATAGAAAATTAATTCCGTAACGGATGAATTTAATCTCCACAACAGTCAGAACTTTTGAGTGCCAGACAGGGTTCGGCCTCACCCAGTTTAAGATGTTTCGGCCCAAGGCCTCGCCATCAGTTTCAAGGCCGAAACAACAAGTCCAACTTGGGACTAAACCCGCAAGGCCTGCCAAGCCAAGACTTTTCAATCTCATTTTGGGATTTGATTTACACCCACCCCCTGTGCACAAGGAAAAACCTCTATGCTATACAATTCAATATACCTTAAAAGTGCTCTTGTATAAATAGTGGGGCAAATCCTCTTCCCAAACCAATGTGGGACAAAAGCTTCACTTTTTCCCTTCATTTTTCCAACTCAATGGGTCTACTTTGAGAATCAATATCTCATTCACCCATTATCCGTTTTGAGCGTACAATATATCAATCTCTTCGTCTCACTACGAAGAATCCGAATCCACTTTGACCGGACCCAAATCGGAAGCGGACCCCACTGATAATTATACCACAAAATAGCCACTTAACATGCCATTTTAAACTATTTTTTCCAACACTCTTATGTCATTCTTCATCAAGTCTTCATCTCCTTTTATAGCTGTAATTTCAAAATTGTACGTTGGAAATAAATAATTTCAAATTTGAATTGTGTACGTTGATCTTGTAGTAGTGATTTGATATGTTGAATTTTTAATACTGCTACTTTCTCAAATATTAGGTTGATTTTTGACTTTGTAAGATTTTTTCTGATTTTGCAAGAATCTCTAGAACTTTATTATAGCTTAAATTCATTCTTGGCGGTGATCCTTGGCTGCTTTCAACGGTTTCTTGATTCCTTAGCTGATAAATTTGGTCTTCTCGATTATCTCCTCAAATCCCAAATTTTGATTTAATTTGATTGCTTCAACTGAATCTTCAATTTTGCTCTTAGGAAAGCTAGGCTTATTTCCTTAAAAACCTTGGATCATTCATTAACAACCTTGGCTCATTCATTAAAAACATTAGCTCAAACCATTGTTTGTTTCCTTTCCAGCGTATTCTTTAACCAAACCTTAGCTCAATTGGAATCTTGGCTCAACAAGCAAACCTTAGCTCAATTGGAATCTTGGCTCAACAAGCAAACCTTAGCTCATAAGAACATTTAGCTTATTTCCTTAGCTCAATTGAATTTTATTTACTTCCTGAGAGATTCGAACTCCTCACCTCCCTTTTTCAAGCTCTTCTCCAACCTTTGGTTATTACCTCTTCTACTGACTTTGTTCATCTTATTTTACTCCGACTCTAATCTTTGCTCCTTTCCGATGGAACCCGCAAATATTGAAAGAACGACAATTATTGTTAACCAAGGAAAAAAATTCGTGGTAAAGGCAAGATACACTTGGCCCACAAAATTCGTGCTCGAAAATAAAAATATTTGAGGCACGGGTTTTCAGTAAAAAATGAAATGGATTCCGGTATAGTTTTCTAGAACATATTAATAAGCTAGACCCATACTGCGAGTTGTTTCATTCCATAAATAAACTCGGACACTCAAAAAATCTGTTGGACAAGCGGATTCACATCTCTTACAACCAACACAGTCCTATGTTCTTGGAGCGGAAGCAATTTGTTTAGCCTTACATCCGTCCCACGGTATCATTTCTAATACATCAGTAAGGCAGGCTCAGACACATTGAGTACATCCTATACATGTATCATAAATCTTTACGGAATGTGACATTGAATCTATAGAGTTCTTACTGTCATAAATTTTCGATCTAGTTCTCCAATCTTTTCTCAAAAATCCTTTTATCTTAATTATGCTTCAAACTTAAAATTCTTCCCAGAATTGATTGGTAACTTCATCTTCAACCGATTCTTGCGTCACTTCAAGGATTCTTCCAAATTTTGACACTTTGACTATTTTTTAATACACTTTTACAATAAAATTTTTGGGTAATTAATTTTTCAAAATACAATCCACTTTGCCTTATCAAAATCTAACTACAATTATTCCTAACAAGATGTTATACCCATATTCTAAATTTATGTGTTCAAGAAATACTTTAGTTTAAAGTTTCAGTGATTTTGTTGGATTGATTAGAAAATGTGATAAATGACTTAGATACAACAGAAACAAAAACAAAACAAAAAAAATACTTTAAAATATCGTATGCACATATTTTTTTTAAAAGACATTTTAGTTTAGATACACCTATTCCGTGAAATTCTACATATAAAACTAGTGATGCTAGCATAATTAGAACTATGTGGGTTTTGTTTCTCTAAATTATTGATAATACATATGCATTTAGTGTTTCTCAATATTAAGAGCAAACCCGATAAAAATAAAGAGCAAACGCAAATTAAAAGTCTTTTATAATTTTTAAAATTTATCTGTCTAATTAACGTAATTTAGTGACAAAATCAAATAAAATTGTAATACATTTTATAATATTTGTAAGTTATTATTATTTTTTTAAGAGGAGAAATCAATGCATTAAATCATCAATCAAAATATCCACAATGGACTCTTGGCGGTACGGTGTATGAAGCCCCTCGCCACAATATGACAGAGAAACGCCCACCCTAGCAACAATATTAGCAACACGATTCATAGATTATTTGGAAAAAGTGAAACATATATCAATGAGACACATAATCGTTTCCTTAACATCATCTACAATCAAGCCTAAAGAAGAATGGAAGGCGGAAAGAATTTAAAGCAAAATAAACTTGGTGGGAATCAGTTTCAACATCAAGATGATCCAATCTCAAACCCTTATTCCAACTCAAAGCTTCACAAATACTGGGCGCCTCTGCTTCTTTGGGCATGAAAACCCTTTCCCAACTCATTCCTTTAGCAGAATAAAATTCCCCATTTGAGTCACTTACCAGTTACCACCCACCCCAACCACATACACCTCCCATCCGACACAAATCGCTACATCAGTTAATTTTTTATTGAGTTAATACCCAAAATCGTCCTCGACTATAGTGGTTTTTCTCAATTTCGTCCTAAACGACTTTGGTGACCTAATATCGTCCCAGACTTTTGTGTTTCGTTCAATTTAGTCCTCCATTTGTTATTCCGTCAAATTGGTGTTAAATTAAGGGACAATTCAGTAATGTCAATATTGATCTCTCTTTACTTTCAACTTGTGAAGTGCGAAATTCCTCTTTCTTGTACGAATTACACCCAGAATTACTCCCGGACCTGCAAATCAAATTTTATATTTGCAGTTTTAGGAGTAATTCTGGGAGTAATTAGTAAAAAAAAAGGGATTTCGCAGTTCACATGTCTATATGAGTAAAGAGATGCCAATATTAAAATTACTGAATTGTCTATTTATTTAACACCAAATGGACAGAATAACAAATGAGAGACTAAATTGAGCAAAAACACAAAAGTCTAGGACTAAATTGAGCGAAACACAAAAGTCTGGGACAATATTAGGTCACCAAAGTCGTTTAAGACGAAATTGAGAAAAACCACTATAGTTGAGGACGATTTTGGGTATTAACTCATTTTTTATTTGAATGTGCCCTCACTCGGCTTCTGCCACCGCTCAACCTACTAATTCCATTAAGGCACTCAACAAACAAATGCATCTATGTTTCCATCACACTGTTACACACTAAATTACTTAATTATATCCTAACTAAATAAATATATTTTGTATGTATATTTCAAAAAATTAATATACAAAACGTATACAAAAACTTGATGTATATGAAACTTAACTTAATATTGTTTTAGGCAAAACAATCAACCAGACAGAGATTATAAAGGCTCTGATACAAAATGTTAGATATGAATAATCTAACGATATAGAATAATAGTATACGAGAAACCTGACATCGTATAGGCGGAAGCGGAAGCAATATTGATCTAATGATCTTCAGCCACAATTGATGTTCTTGTTGTGTTGTTTCATGAACGGTAGACCGTTAGCCATATTTTGCCTCATACTTGACTCTCATCATGGTGTATTGGTGTCTACTGAGCAGTATGAGTACCGTAACTGAATGTGCTATATAATGATAATCTTGTATCCCATCAATCCAAATTTATATTATGCACAAAGTCTAATTGACTAACAACTTCTAATCAAACTACTTAATAAGCCTAGTCAACTTGCACCACTTAATAAATACCCTAATATATACTCCGTAATATATAATATATATTATTAGGAAAATCTTACAACTGTTACACAAAAAACGTTGTATAAGTTATCAATTTTTATAATATATTAATAAAATTATTAATCTAACATAATTTAGTGATATAAAAAATCAAGTTCAAATGATATTACAAACATTACAATTATTTTATAAATTTTTTATATTACAAGTTCAAATAATATTACAAGTCTTTTATAATTTTTTAACTTAGTAACAAATTATTATTAATTTTTAACTTTGAGATTAATGGTTCAAATATTTTTTAACCAAAATATTAACTTTGAAACGGTATGTGTATACTTTTTATAGTATTAAGGAAGCCGGACATTGAACAGCTTGTACAAATATACATTTTGAATTTATACTTTTTATATAATGTGTTTTTCGAAGGAAAATCCTGTTTATATATTTTTGGAAAAAGTATCAAATTGGCCCCCTAAGTCGAGTGGATAGTGCAATTGGGTCTCCTAAGTGAAAAAAAAAACTTCATTCAAGTCCTCTAAACCTGTAAAATTGTTCAATTGAGTTCAAGTTGACTTGTTTATTAGGTTAAATGCATACGGTATTGACACGTGTTCTTATTTTATTTTTTTATTAAAAATATTATTTATTATAAATTAATTAAAATAATAATAAATGGAAATCCAATTGCACTATACACTCGATTTAAGGGGTCAATTTGACACTTTTTCCTATATTTTCTTTTAAGAGCTTTCAGATTCAATGGCATCTTCAGACTTCAGTGATGAATATTTAATTCATAATATTTTCTTTGAAACGAACCATGCGATAAATGCAAATGAAGAACACTATTTATTATTAGGATACTACTACGTATTATTTAATTAAATATATTAATTAATATAAAAATATATTCAAAATGTATCTGACCACAAACATATCCAAATTCATTATCTCACACAATTCACATGTTTATGTAATCCAAACGCCACTTGTTCGTCTCATATGCTCACGCCGGGAATATTTCTTAGGGATTTTTATATTGTGGATCGCGGTGCATGTGTGCACTGTGGTTAAAAACTACGCCTTTTTGTTTTTTAAAAGTAAAGAAACGGCGCGCTATTAGTGTTAACGGAGTGCGATTTTTTTGTATGTTAATTACCAACTGACACTATAGTATATCTAAATCGACATTGCCTCACGTATTATTTTTATATTATCAAATGAATCTGCAGTTATATCAAAATGATACTATAGTGTGGTAAAATGAAATTGCAGTGTATATAAAATGAAACTGAATAACATTTTACATATTTGAGTATATATATGTACAATGCAATTGTTATTGCCTGGACCATGGTCCAGCCAAGATGGGTGGACCATGGCCCAAAACGCGCCGTTAGATGCGCGACAAACGTCGCGCATATTTTTTTTTTTTTTTTCAATATAAAATCTGCTTCTCTCACCTCTCGGACGCTATCTTCTCCTCTCTGAACACCTATCTCCGCTACTGCAAACACAGAGGAAGACGATGGTTAGACTTCATTGCTGCACAATACAAGAGCTTCTTGAAGGTAAACATCTCATTCTAAACATACATTGCGATTAGGAATTCAAACAACACTGATAAAGTATATTTTCAACTATACGCTATTTTGATATATATTGTGTTTTTTAATATTATAGGAGATGTTAATGCTTTGATTGATGTTGAATTGAGTTCTCCCATTGATGTTGAATTAATTTCAGGTTTGTCTTTTGCAATACTTTGATATATTATGTCTATGGTTTGTTTAATTGGTTGGATAAGGGTACATTATTTCTGTTCAGTAGGTACATTATTTATATGCATTAGGTACATTATTTTAATCCATAGGGTACATTATTTCTGTTCAGTAGGTACATTATTTATATGCGTTAGGTACATTATTTTAATCCATAGGGTACATTATTTTAATGCATGATTTATGTGTTCTTTCTGATGTGAATATTGTGTTTCTGATTGTGGTACATTCTTTATGTTCGGTAGGTACATTATTTTAATACATACGGTACATTATTTTAATGTATCATTTCTGTGTGCATTCTGATTTAAAAGTTGTGTTTCTGATTAAGGTACATTATTTATGTGCATTAGGTACATTATTTTAATCCACAGAGTACATTATGTTTATGCATGATTTATCTGTACATTTTGTTGTGCATAAATTTAAAAATATTGTTCATTGTTTATATGTTGTTTTAGAGCAGGTTATTAGTAAATTATTCAAGCAGAAATTTAGGGATTATTACTCGTTTCTCTAAAGCATTAGCACATCCGGGACTAGAAAGTGAAGGTTTGCTCTGGATATGCTTTTAGTATTGTAATATGTATGTTATTCCATAGAAGCATGTTGAAGAATGACCTTATGTATACAGGGCCGGATTTTAGGCTGTGCAAGCTGGGCTACCGCACAGGGCCCCCAATTTTAGGGGGCCCCAAATTTTAGAGGTTCAATATTTAATTTTTACCTAGCTAATTTAGAAATAAAAATAAAAAGTTTTCAATTAAATTTAAAAGGTTTTATGAAGAGATGGTAAGAATTTGTATTTATTATATTTTAACTTGGAGGTCAAAGGTTCGAAACTTGCATGTATTGGTTTTAAAAATTGTTATTTTGGTAGGGCCACATTTATTTACCAGAACAGGGCCACAAAAACTTAAAATACGGCCCTGTATGTATATATGTATGTATACTTTTTGTGTTATATATACATAAGTATCTGATTGTGTTTTCTTTGTTGCCAATGCTTGGCTTATGATTAACAAGATTTTCAATTTCATTTGATTCATTTAATTTGAAATTCAGGTTCTTCAGTCGGTGGTTCCAATTAAAGATGAAGAGGTTGTGATTGGACAATAAGAAGGTTATAGGGATGGTCTAACAATTCCTAACAACTCAAATACTCCAAAATTTGCAGCAGTGGTTCTACGTGTGCACAAAGTACATAATTTTTGTTCATAGGGTACATTGTTTTTGTTCATAAAGTACATTATTTGTGTGCATAAAGATTAGGTGTATATAGTACATTATCTATCTGCATCATAAGTAAACAAATACATGATTGAATGATTGGAAGGAAAACTTGATGGTGGTAATTGACAGTTTTTTTTGTGTCAATTTAATAGTGGTAATTGACTATTAGGAAGAAAAGTTGATATTGATATGTCTTAACCTATTTTGTAAATATTTTATTTTGTTATAAAAAGTTTATGTTATAATATTCAAATTACATTATTTCATAAATATTCTTCCAAAAGGCTGAACCCCAACCCTAAGGGCCCCCCCACACTCCGGCCCGACAGAGCATTTGGGAGGATGTAATATTATCCCTATTGTACATTGTTATAGAATAAGGTACATTATTATAACCCACAAATTATATTACCAAATCAAGTGTTGGGCCGTTCATGAATACATGTGAAATTAACAAGAATACATTTATTAACTCATAGGGTACATTATTCTAACCCACATAGTACATTACCAAATCAAGTAATTGTATGGGATGCCGTATCCCCAATGAGGACGAGGATGGGGAAAATTTTTGGAAATGGGGACAAAGAAGGGAAAACCCCTCCCCTTATTCACCGCCGGGACGGGGACGAGGTTGGTGTTTCGGGGATGGGGATGATGGTCAATTCATGAACATGTAACCTTAACTAAGATACATTTTGATAACTCATAGGGTACATTATTTTAAAGTATAAAGTACATTATTCTAACCCATAGAGTACATTACCAAAATCAAGTGATAGTCGATTTATGAACACATGTGACCTTAAGAAGCATCCATTTTATTAGCTCATAGGGTACATTGTTTTAGGGCATAAGGTACATTATTTTAACCCACAGAGTACACTACCAAATCAAGTGATGGTAAGTTCATAAACACATGTGACCGTAATAAGGATACATTTTGTTAACTCATAGGGTACATTATTTTAGAGCATAAGGTACATTAGTCTAACCCACCGAGTACATTACCAAATCAAGTGATGGTCAGCTCATGAATACATGTGACCTTAACAATGGAACATTTTATTAATGCATAAAACAAAAAAAAATATGTTCATAATCGGTCAAGTGCAAATACTTTTTGTAATAACTCACAAAGCAAAAAACAAGTTCATAATATGTAAGTGCATATATAAGTAAACAAAATTAGTGCAACTTCTTCTAATTATCATTTGACTTGTTTTGAGACTTAGACCTGAAACAAACCAATTATGAACTAATATTGCCACTAGGATGAATTAGATACCCACTACCAACAATATCATAAACAATTTACTGCATAGAAATTGGACTATAGCCTTTGTGTTAAATTCAACCGTCTTTACATGATTCTTCCGACTTCTTGCTTGGTTATACCTTTTTTGTACTGTACTAATTAGCCCTGGATTACGGTCGCCTTTGGCACCACTTCGTAAAGGACTTTGTATACCACCGCTTTCCAAGGATCTTTCAAAGTCATCAAAGAAAATACGACCAGTCTCACCTTCAATCTTTCTTCTACCAGCTTCAATATTATTTTTAGTGAATATCAGATTTCTAAGTAGAGGGGGGTGTGGTGCACCTAATAAATCCAGTCATGCTCTACAAAGAAATAAGATATCCACTAAAAGAATGATCTGAATACACAATAGAAAGTATACATAAATGATGCATTAAAATAATGTACCATATGGATTAAAATAATGTTCCTAATGCATATAAATAATGTACCTCAGTCAGAAACACAATATGTACAGCAGAATGTAGTACACATAAATGATGCATTAAAATAATGTATCTTATGTATTAAAATAATGTACCTAATGCACATAAATAATGTACCTAATGCACATAAATAATGTACCTCAATCAGAAATATGATATTAGCTTGAAATGTAATGAATGATCTACATACTATATCAGATCATAGCTTAGCAGAAAGACTGAGTTAGTTGGAAAATTAATTAGTATTCATCTTAGCTTCTACATAGAAAAAGCTCAAATGCATATTGTGTTGAATTTGCAGGTGAGGGAAAAAAGTAAATTAAAATGACCATGCATATTGTGTTTATAGAGACATAAAAGATCTGGAAACTTGTTGGTAATCAGGTTATGGAAAGTCATTACTCAGAAATTCACTTGTTACATCTCACCTCAAGATAAAATGCAGATCATGCAAATTAAGAATTTTATTGATTTCTTAGTGACAAATATCAATATAGCACATGGTTTAATAGCCTAATAAGAGTGGAACCTATAAAGAAATTAATGAAATTATTCTCGTTTCCAATGCTTATGAAACTAAGGCCAAGAAAAGCAATGTATGATCAAAGGTTTTCATCATTGACATTGAATCATTACAATTCAGAAGGTGGAACAAAAGACCTTTAATTCCCATAAGAGTGGCACAAGCAAGATTTGTATTTTAAGTATGAAAAACAAAACCTCTTCAATACAGAAGATTTCTTGGGTTTGACGTTTATAAAGAATATTACGGTTTGAAGCTCAGTTTCAATACAGATCTTTTTTTTTTTTTTTTTTTTTTTTTTTAGACGAAGAACTCAAAATTCACATAAAAGTAGAGCTATCAAAACGGGCCCAACCCGTCGGGTTGGGCCCGTTTAACCCGTATTTTTCACGGGCTGGGTTGGAGGATTTTCAGCCCGTCCCGTTTCCAACCCGTGGGGGATACGGGTTACACGGGTTGGCCCGTGGGTTACACGGGCCGGCCCGTATAACCCGTATCCCCACCCACCCCACTTCTAAATGTGTTGCATAATTGGGTATTTTATTAATATTTAAAAACATTGTTGCTAACAATACTTAAACCTTTGACCTTTTATTTAAGTTATTATCAAATCATTACTATTGAAACCAATTACACTAAGAACACATGCTAAACATTTCAATATAATTATATATCTATTTACATCATTCACAAGCATTACTAAATATATATCTATATTAATTAATACAATTAATTGTATCGTTATATAAATATTAATTTAAAGTTTATTTATTATATAAACTACATAAAGTAATAAATTATATATCTTATAAACTTTATAACTTAATAGTATATATATTATAATTAAAAATAAAAAATATTAATGTAAAATATATTAGTATTAAATATAAATTAAATAAATTATAATTACATATTAAAAACTAAAATCTAATTTTATATGTGTATATGTCGTATGTGTATATACATATTTGTATATATATAAATATACATATTTGTTAATCATGGTTAATGTGATTGATTGGAAATAGTCTTAGTTACTAATTTAGAGGTCATGGGTTCAATTCCTAAGCAATATAATAATAAATATTTTAATCACGTAAATTTAAAAAAAAAAAAAAAAAAAAAAGAATAAACGGGCTGACGGGCTGGCCGTTTAGCCTGTCAACCCATCCTACACGGGTTGGGTTGGGAAAATCCCAACCCGTGGGAAAATGGGTTGGCCCATCCCGTACCGTTTTCAGTTGAACCCGAGACGGGCCAGCCCATATGGGCCGGGCTGGCCCGTTTTGACAGCTCTACATAAAAGCCTCCAAAATTTAACATGGGGAAATAATGTATCTTATGTATTAAAATAATGTACCCTATGAATTAAAATAATGTACCTAATGTAATGCACCTTAATCAGAATTCCAATATTCACAGTAGAACATGCAAATACTTTATCGTAACACGAAAAATATAGAATTGCATGTCTATGATCAACATCAATTGCAAAAATCAATTCAACAACAACCAAAGCATTCACATCACCTAAATCGCATGTAAAGACCTGTAATTCATTATCGAATTTGAATTCATAGCATCCATTATGTTGATAGAGAAGCAAGAAGCTGTGTGGACCATGCCAAATTGCGAAGAGATGAGCAATTGATCGCAGAGAGAATGAAATCACGGAGAACAACAATTCACGAAGACAAATTGCGAAGAAACAATTCGCATAGAGAAAGGGAGAGAAGAAATTCGCGATGGAGGTGGCGTCGGAAACGATGGAGATGCGCGCAGAAGATGGCGAAGACGATGTCGAAGATGCGAAGAAGACGTTCCGATTTTTTTTTTTTTTAAAGATGCGCGACGTGTGTCGCGTATCTAACGGCGCCGTCTCTCCTTAAGTGGAGAGACGGCGTCGTTTTGGACCATGGTCCACCCAACTTGGCTGGACCATGGTCCAGGCAATAATTTGCCTGTACAATGAAGCTGTAATTATATCAAAATGATCATGTAGTTGTGTTTTAATAAAACTAAAGTGTATATAAAATAAAATTAAATAACATTTTCACATATTTGAGTCTATAAATATCGAATGAAACTGTAGTTATATCGAAATGAAACTGTAGTTGTGTTGAACTGAAACTGCAGTGTATACAAAATGAAACTGAACAACATATTTACTTTTTGCGGAAGGGTGCGGAATGGGGGGAAACGAATGCCGTTTCTTTTCATTAAACAAAACGACGTCGTTTTGATGCGCGGTGCATAATAATGCACCGCGGTGCACGATATAATTTGCCATGTCTTGGGAATTGGGCCAAAGCAATTGAGACTCGAGCTTTGGTAATTAATTAACTTAATTAATTAATTAGACTAATTAACCCAATAACAAGTTAGGTAGGCACATTGATTCAAATTTAACTATCTTAATTAATTAATTAGACTAATTAAATAAATAATCAGATAATTTTAAGATAAAATGACACTTTTAGTCTATGACTATGACTAAATTATATATTTAATTCCTCGTACTCAAAAAAGAAAATTTTAATTCCTCAATTATTTGTGATGCATATTAATCTTTCCTTTACTATCAAAGTGGGGTGGCGGACCTAATCCTTAAAAGACC